TTTATCTGCTGCTATCCGTTCACCATGAGGAGGCAGGGAATTGTGATGTATTTATATGTAAGACAAGGCTAGGGTTTGACATGTATTTTTGGACTAAAAATTGGGCTTGGAAATTTAATCTTGACTTGGGCTCAAGTTTGGGCTTTAGCTTGTAAGGTTAAAAATGTTACTTGGGCTCGGTAAATTGGACACGGGTTAGAAAATTAAATACCGTAACATTTAACGAATAAATAATGTATGGCTCAGTAATTAAATAATTCGGGCTTTCTCGAGAATTAAATAAATTCCCGACTTTTCTATTACTCGATAAAAATAATTAATCGAGACTTAGACTTAGGATTTTTATCTCGTTTCCGAAATAATAATTCGAACGTACTCTCCATGCTTTAGACTTGAAATTTAATAAATTATGCAATTAATACTAATAATTCTAGGCATAATTAATATTTTACTATTTATAGAAAATAAAGTCGAGATAAATATATAATTTTGGGTCAGGCCTTACAAAAACCTTCACCCAGGCTGGCAACGGCAATGAGTTCTTTAACAGCAATATCAATAGCGTTAGTTGCAAAATCAGACTCCTGTATCAATGATCGGTTTTCACTTCACAATTTTCAAAAAAAACAAAAAAAATGATAATAATTAATTAAAAAAATTGAATCATTTATTTATTTAAAAAAAATAAAAAATAAGTGGACTAAAATAAAACAAAAAAAAATTGTGGACAAAAATAAAACGGACGGATTCTCACAATCCGTGTTTTAAAGAAACACGGATTCTGAAAATCCGTGTAACTGTAATTTTACAACGAACACGGATCACCAAAATGCGTGTTCCCTTAATTACGAAAGGAACACGTATTAACAAAATCCGTGTTCACTTAATCTCGTAATTAAGCTAATTAATTAAACAGAACACGAATTTTGAAAATTCGTGTTTAAATGAACACGTATTGTCATAATCCGTGTTACGTAAACACGGATCACTACAATCCGTGTTTAAGTATTTATTCATTTTTTTTTAAATATTTTTTATAGTATATA